GAGAGAGAGAGAGAGAGAGAGAGAGAGAGAGAGAGAGAGAGAGAGAGAGAGAGAGAGAGAGAGAGAGAGAGAGAGAGAGAGAGAGTCTAAGCTACGACAACAATGCCCCCCCCCTCCCCAACCTACACTATCGATAGGAGCTCCGACGCTCCTCCCCCGCCCCTACGACGGAAAGAAAAAAAAAATGTCGCGCCTCTTCCGCCCCTCCTGTCGATCTTGTGATGCATCAAACTAAATTGCCTCCCGCGCCCCCTTCCCTTGCCTACAGAAACTATCTAACGTGCCTCCCATGCCCCCTTCCTCCACCTACACAAACGATCAGAGAGAGAGAGAGAGAGAGAGAGAGAGAGAGAGAGAGAGAGAATGACTACTACATGTGCCTCCCGAACGTCCCCTCCTCCCACCTACACGACAATCCAAGAAAGGGGAGCAAATCATACTCTACGGTATTAAACAGAGCAATGGATGGAGGGAGGGGGGGAGGGGGAGGGAGGTCCCAACTGAGAAGTACATGACCCCCGCCTGCACCAGAAACCCCCTCTGCGACTGAAAAGTACATGAGTCCTGCATTAGGTTCCCCGTGAAAAAGAATACTTATCATGCACCAAAGGGAAATTGTGCTGATCAGCTGACAGGTTTGGAAAGTTTTCCAGACACAACAGGTCAGTTCTAATCCAACCACCAAGGTACGCAAAGTGAATTACATATGACACTTCAGTTCCAATCCAAACAATCACGAACCCACGAAACTATTCGCCCAATCTTCTGATCAATGCAAAAATCCCTCCTTGATTGCAGCCGTAGCCGCAACAGGTAAGCTAGTATGGACTTGTATATGTAAGCGAGCTCTTTGGAATCGAATGTGAATTTTAGCAGGGTGAGGAAAACCTGCTAGCTGAACTGCCATGTTGGCCTTGATTGGCAATCCTGTTATGTGCTGTAGTCAAGCTTCTATGGTGCACTGACTATGCTCTTTCGAAAATTCCAGGTCATCTCTGCAAGAAGAGGAGAGTTCGAGACTGGTTTTGAACGTGGTGGGCAGACTCGAGAGCATGCACAACTGGCAAAGACACTGGGAGTGGGAAAACTTGTGGTTGTGGTTAATAAGATGGATGATCCTTCAGTTGAGTGGGCAAAGGACAGGTAAGTATATCCATCTATCCTTCCGTATGTCCCTCTGTTTGCTGTACCTCCATCCCTCCATCAGCATGTCTGTCCCTGCAGCCCTCCCTGCACCCATCCAACAGTTCCTCGGTCACCCCTCTGTCCTTTTGTCTCTCTCTTCCCGTGTCTTCCTCTGTCTTGTCCTCCGTGTCTTTTTGTTTGTGTGCATGATCTCTCTCTCTCTCTCTCTCTCTCTCTCTCTCTCTCTCTCTCTCTCTCTCTCTCTCTCTCTCTCTCTCTCTCTCTCT